CCGGCCGCACGCCCGGAAGTCAGCCTGCTCCTGGGGCTGGGCAGTGAGCCCGATCCCAGCCGGGCGTGCGCGCTCCCAAACGCCGCCGCGGGCGGGGCGGTCCTCGGCGCTGTCCTCTGTCACTCCACTTAAAATAGAGCACAAAGAGGAAGTTCAAGGGAGGGCGAGAGCAAGCCTATGGAAGGCCCGCTGTGTGGAGGCATACCTCGAAATAAGCTGTATGTTTTTTCCCTAGTAGAGCTGGTCAGGAAAAAGCTCAGGTTATTCACAACGACCGGAGATTTTAGGAAATGTGTAGAAATAAGAAGTCTTGAATATGAGCTTGTTATTAGCTTTAAATAGCTGTCTCTTCCTTGATTTTTTGGAGGGGGAAAAACAAACCTATCTTCAAGCTGGCTATCTAAAAATGTTAGACTTCACCAGGCACTTCGTCTCTATATATGTAGAGTTTTCAACCGAATTTCATACTAAATAAAATATTTATTTTACTTTCTAGATATAATTAGAAAACATGTAGGAGGATATTGAATGTTGCCAAAATATTAAAAAATGCGTAGATGTCTCACAGGCTTCTCTGCAATGGAAAGGTAGGATTCACTGTAGTGTGTTGCACAAAATAGACACAAAGGATGTTGACCAAAACCATCTTTACAAAGGATGCTGACTAAAGCCACTTTTCCAAGCAATTCCATATTAGAGTTGGGTTTGAAGTCCACTGTCAGCTTCTTTCTATTAAGTGATTAAGGATAGTTGTATCCAGAAGCAGAAGGATAAACTGAATGTCTCCTTAAAGTAACTTTTGGTAATGTATCTCAGCCCTGGGCTGTCCGGGCACATCACTTTGGTGATGACCGTGTATGGCTTTTGGGAATAATCTCATTGCTATTCATCCTGACCATACCTTCCACCTATAAATTCCTACTGTGCCCTTCCCACCTGAACGGCCCCAACCCTGCCCTGCAAAAATGAATGAATGAATGAATGAATGAATGAATAATGCATTATAATCAGTATGGTCTCATTCATAATGTCATCATTACCACTTTCATTATTTGTCCCCTCCACCATTTCCTACCTGGGTTGAACAAAATAAAGTCAATTCAACAAAAAACTTCAAAAAAACAAAACACCCCCAAAAAGCAAAGTATGCATATTCAGGTCTGAATAGACTGAAAATCCCTCTCTCTCTTTTCAGTGGAATGTAGATAGATGTTAGGTATAAAAGTTGTGTTTTCTTAGATGAGCTTAAAGGGCAAACAGAAATGTGTGAGCCATAGTTCTTTGTTTTTCCACACTGTGGCTTTCATTTTTTTTTTTAATGGGATGGAGAGAATGTAGTTATTGTCTGCCATCTAGTGCACTAAGTTGGAATTGTGTCTTGTCATTAAGATCCAGTAACTAAAATTCATAAAAATAGTGTACTGATTCAAACAAAGAAGGATAGATTCTACAAACAATTGTGCTTTCAAGCTTCGGAGATCCACTCTTTAGAGAAGACCAATGACAAGGACACAATACTGAACATTTATTGCAAAACTGGAGAGCGGGAGTTGATGTTAGATCAAGGTGGAAAGAATCAAGAACACCCACTTACAGAACCATGTAATGAATAGCTGTTCGTGGTGAGGAAATACTGTTGTAATTGATGAATTGACTGCATTCAGAATGCTCTGTGGAACAATGACTTGAAATGATCCCCCAATAAAGTAAAGCACGAAAAAATAGTGTCAGTATATACTGTCTTTCAAAGACCCAGTCTCAAACACTTGCATGAACTCCAGCCCTCGTTTCCAGTCATCCAGTCTTTCCAGTTTTTTCCTTCAAAATGTTTCCTCTCTCTCTCTCTATTTTTTCTATTACCACTATTAAGAGTGGGTAATAGACTTTTTTCCATATTACTTTCCATCTTCTTAGCTCTGACCAGCGTACATACTAATGACCTTACAATCTTCCTTATACACTGGTCACTGTTGCTTGAAAAACCCCTGGACCTCTATTTCCCTTTCTTCGTCCATACGTGCTCACCCTGGTTTCATTGTAGCTTTAATCGGGTCTCATCCTCCCTGCACAACTCCATTTCCTTACTCTTACTTTTTTGTATTATGTTCAATTAGCCCAACATATAGTACATCATTAGTCTCTGATGTAGTGTTCAATGGTTCATTAGTTGTGCATAACACCCAGTGCTCATCACCATGTGTACCCTCCTTAATACCCATCACCTGGTTACCCCATCCCCTCACCTCCCTCCTGTCTGTAACCCTCAGTTATGTTCCCGGAGTCCATAGTCTCTCATGGTTTGTCTCCCTCTCTGATTTCTTCCCATTCAGTTTTCCCTTCCTTCCCCTGTGGTCCTCCATGCTATTCCTTATGTTCCACATATGAGTGAAACTGTATGATAATTGTCTTTCTCTGCTTGACTTATTTCACTTAGCATTTCCCTACCCTTTTTGAACGTTTTGCCAATCGCTTCATGGTCCCTTGAACGACCCAGCTCATTGCTCTGTTCAAGTCTTCATTGGTGCAGTACCTCTCATGAGGAACGCCTGTCCTTCCTTCCTTTGCCCAGCCAACTCTGCCTCATCTTTCAGGATCCAGCCCAGCTGTGGCCCCTCGCTGGATACCCCTCTTGCCTGTGAAGCCTTAGGGGAATTACAGGTTATATTCAGTAACCGAGCACTTGTGCAAATATGGTCCAATGGCTTACCATTATTTCACAGGTTTTTAGTCCCGAGTCCTCCAAAATCTATTGTGAAATACTCTAGGCCAGGTATTATTTCTTAACCCTTTTTAAGCCCCCCTCAGGGTCTACACTTCTGGGAGCACTGGGAGCTCGTGGATACTTGTGGATTGGTTTTCTTTATCCTCAGCACAATTCTGCAAGGAAGAATGGAGCTGGTACTATTATTTCCATTTTACGAACGAGGATGGCAAGGCCCAGAGCCCTTGCAAGACTTGCTCTTGTCCACGACAGTACCCGGACTGGGGCTCTGGGGGCTCCTCTTGTCGAGAACTTCTCTTGGAACACTTTGCTGCCATTGGACTGGTGATGATAGATGAAGCAATGCCCTAAGCCCTCCTTTATTTTCAGCTACGAACGTTATGTTCTTATAGGTAACTGTCATGAGCTCATATTGTAGGAAGCAGCCAGGCAACAGATTATAATCAGGGCATGTAGCTACGTCTCCCGCTTGGCAATTTCGGTTCTTTCTTGCTGGTTATGCCACATTATCAGCCCACACCCATCTGTCCTGTTTGAAAACCACAAACGGTTCCCTGGGCAGATACGACATTCTTCAGCACGGCCCTCGGACTAAACGATCTTTAAACAACTCTGGGTCTGTCTCCTGACCTTCCTCACCTGCTGAAAGGAATCCTGTTGCACCCAGGCTCACACTGCTGCTTATTAGTTACGAACTACCAGGGCCAGGCTGTCTTAGCCAGAGTTGTTAAGGGAGTCCGGGAGGATTTCCAGGTAGTTCCAACTCTGGCCACAGGATGGATGCATTTTCCATCCTGTGTGCACCTTGGGTGACTTGCCAGCACAGCAGATGATGCTTCCATTCCCAGACTTATAGCAAGGGGTCCATCCACGGACGCATTGGCTCTCTCCGGCCTGGTTAGTTTGCGGGGAGGACTCAGTAGCAAAATGAAAATGTCCTATCCACATGCAGCTAGGCAGTTCAGAGGGATGGCATTGCCGGAATTTGTCCTATTAAATATCTGGAAAATAGATACTAACAAGACTGTTAAACTATTCTACTAGTTTAAAATGACTATGTGTATTAATTGAACAAAAGGCAATAGAAAAAGGCTTAGATTGTTTAAAGAAAATCTAAGCGTAGTTGTAACCAGCAACTTTTATAACTGCGTGTCTGAGGAAATTATCAGAACGAATCTAAAAGTGTCACGAAATGCACTATTATTACCTTTATTTTATGAGAATTCTGTTAAGACATAAAAAAGATTGGTTTCCAACTGAGCTATAAAAAATTTTCGTGATAGTACTGGCAGGAAATTTTAACCTAAAAATTAGATGAAGAAGTTTCAATTTTACATGATGAATCAGTTGTAGAGATCTACTGTCAAGTGTAGAGCCTATAGTTAATACTGTATTGTGTCCTTTAAAAATTTTTGCTAAGATTTTATGTTAAGTATTCTTATCACACACACGTAGATAAATAAAGCAGGCAGGGCGAAACTTTGGGAGGTGATTAATGTGTTTACTACATATACTGTGGTGATGGTATCATGGGTGTATACTTATCTCCAAACTCATCAAGTTAGATACATTAAATATGCACAGCTTTTTGTGTGTCAATCATACCAATAAAGTGTTATTTTTTTAAAAGAATTAGATCCAACTAAGAAACTGTCATATGAAGTGTTAGATGCAGAGTAGTCATGAAAAGCCAGAATTACTACACCAATTACTACCTGAAGAACAATGACATCCCTTCTTAAGCATACAAAATATAAGCACAAACTTCACTGCCATCAGTCCTCCCAGGAGGCCCGAGAAAAGGTGGACTAGCTACTCTGATCCCTGTTTTGCAGGCTTAGAAAGTTAAATGGCCTCCAGGCCTTACATGCCTCATACTGTGGTGGTTGTCGTGGTACCATGGGGCTATGATCTGAAGCCAGGCTTCTGGACTTCACATCCATGAACTACTCATTCACCAGTGTGTTAAGATACAAACTCCATCATGATGTAATATCGACTATTCAGTCCCTGGAATATGTTTGCAAAGAAAACTGTTTTTCC